ACATATATACATTGTTTTAATAAAGCCTATCAGCCTGAGGTGAGAGCAGGTGTCTACTTGGCTAGTTCAGGCTATTTAAGAAGGCATTAGGTTGGGTGTACGTAGGAAAGACACATAGTAGGGTTCTTGGAAGTCAACACTGAGGCTAGTAGCTGAGAATAACTATTTACTTCCTCATAACGCGTCGGTCTGGAGTTTTGAGACTCTCTGATCGCGGGTTCTAACCCCACCCGTGGTATGGTTTGTTTGCAATCGTGCCATTACGATTTCATGAGTGATATTTTTGTATATTATCTAGGTGTGTGAATGAAGGGTAGACAAACAATTGTCTGCTCTACTATTTCAGTCATGTAGGATGGGTTTAACGCAAACATTATGTTAAAATCTGTCAGCCTTATCAGGGAGATTTTGTTAGGGCAACCAGGCCATCGTCAAGTATTTTTTCCTCTGTGTCTATGTGGGTGACCTTCCAGTGTTTGAAATTTGGGGAAAATTGGTGGTTGAGGCGAGAGATTTTAGGGTAAATTAGAGACGAATGAAGAGATGGAAGTGGAAAATTGAGATCAAGGGAAGAGATGCATGAAAAAAAGGATGTTGAGGTGAGATAACTGATTAGATTGTTTAGTGAAAATGGGAGGTGAATGTAGAGGAAGAGTGGGGGAGGGGAAGGGAAAATCAGGGATGAGGAAGAGAGAGAGGAAAATATGGGGCTGAGGAACAGGGTAAAAGTAAAAGATGAAAGATGAGAGAAGGAAAGTAAGGGTTGAAGAGAAGATAGGAAGGTGAGGGGTGAGGGAGGCGAAAGGTGAGGGGAAGGTAATGAGAGATGGGAGGAAGGGAAAGGAAAGAGAAAAGAAGAAACCAATAGTTTCCGGAAGGGGGAAACCAATTGTTTCCCGGAAGGTGGTGTCACCATCCACAACGTCTCCCCTTACTCCTCTCCCCCTCCCCCTCGTCCTTTTAAACCTGTCCTGCCCCTTTAAATCTCCCTGACCTACCCACCCTCACCCGCACCGTGGTTTGCTACTCATTTGCGTTTTATTAAAACTGGATACGTCCTCAGGATGCTGTTAATTTATCCTATATGACAGTTATGCAGTGGGAAGAAAAACTAGCAGTTTCACCATTATATATCATCACACAAGTTTGGTTACGTGTGTTAAAATCTGTCAGCAATGAAGGATGCTTTGATGCTGGGTAGGCCTCACGATCAAAAGAAACGGAGCTATGATAACACTAATATCAATAACAACAAAAGAAAAACAATAAAAGCATAAGTAATAATAATAATAATAATAATAATAATAATAATAATAATAATAATAATAATAATAATAATAATAATAATAATAATAATAATAATAATAATAATGTGTCATTTTTACAACTGTGAGGAAAATGATAAAATGGATAATGAGAACCTTCAAAACAAGGGATGCTTAACCACTGATGATCCTCACTTGCTCTCTCTAGGTTGGAATACTGCTGTACACTAACAGTCCCTTTCGAGGCATGCGAAATTGCACCTCTGGAGAATATACAAAGAACCTTCACTGCACGTATAAGTACAGTCGAACACCTTAATTACTGGGAATACTCCAAGTCTCTTGACCTGTAGCCCTTGGAACACAGACGAGAAAGATGCATCTTAATTTACACATAGAAAATCCTGGAGGGACTGGTCTGAAATCTACACATAAAAATCACTCCCTAAGAAAGCAAAATACTCGGCAGACTGTACAATATACCCCTATGATAACCAAGAGTGTTGTGAATACGCTAAGAGATAACACAATAAGTGTCAGGGGCGCAAGACTGTCTAATAGGGGGACTGCCAATATACCTTTGTTGTGGTTCGTACGTTGGTTTGCTCAAGACCAGCAGTAACATCCTGATCCTGATCCTGCGGGAGGACCGGTCATGTACCGGGCGGCGGGAGCGTTGAGTATATCCTCCAGGTATACTCCTGTCAGATAATAACAATAATAACAACAGCTCACTTATTAACATCAATACCTAAACAACTGTCGCAACTAATCATTTGAGAATACCTGTTGCTGATTCTCATCTGTACAGCTTCGCACTCCTGTCATGTGGAAGGCGTAGCTAGAGGCCACTCAGGTCACATGAGAGGGTAGGGGCGCCGCGCTCTCCCGTTGAACTTATTTGTCAACACTCCCATAATATACATTCGAGTTCCCATGGGTCGGGTATCCAAGCGGAAGCCGCCAACCACACCAGCCAAAACAACCATGTCCAACATTTTTTTATTTTTTTCATTATCCCTCCCGTCTCGCTTTCATATTTTTTGATGGGCTATTTAGTACTCCAGGTGTTGCATAATTTAAAATATTTCTGAAATGTATTTGATGGAATATGTTCCATAGTTTAACGTATATCCTTGAAGATGACTGGATGTATTTAAATTTATTTATTTATTTATTTATTTTGATATAAAGTCAACTCCTGTTTTATGTAAATGGTATAAAATATTTACCAAGCCACAAACAGATCCTGGAAAACAAACTTTCATCACGTTTGTCTTCAAAAAGACGGTCTCCAAGCTTTTGTCAAGTCTATCTTGAAAAAAAAATCTCCAAGTGAAAGTTCTTATTATACACCCCATAATTAATGTTAACTTGGTGTTCTGTCAAAACTTAAAACCCTAATTTTGAAAGGGGTGGACCGGTAAGCCAGCGGAAAGCCTCGGACAAATGACTAAAATCTCCAACTGCGGGTCATCATATGACTAAGACCCGCGTCAGGAAACACTTATCCTGTTTCCTGACAAATTTACTTAATTTTATCTTGTGTTCTGTCTGTCAGAAAGTTGAATAGCCATTTGCCTATTTTCCCGGTTATACCTATCGCTCTCATTTTGAATATAATCCCGCCATGATCTCATTTGACAAATGTCTTTGCAAAATCCGTCTGGGTTTTGAATTTCTTCCTTCGCCTCCGTAATTCTGTCAAAGTGATTCAATAGTTGTGACAAGCACGATCAGTCTATGTCATAATATTGTGTCAAACACATTTTTGTAGTACAAGAATATGTAGGTCACCTATTCTTGTCTTTATTACAATATTTCCGTTATTCTATCATTGATTTCCACCAGGAAATCTAGGAATATAATTCTTAGTAACTATCTCCACTCTGATGTGTACTAGTTACGGAAATTCTTATTTTGTTTGGATCAGTATAGATCTTTATTCAGACGTGATAAAGCTCACTCCTGGGCGAAACGTTGCCAGAAGTAAAAAAATGATTTGTTACTGACTTATTATGTATAGAACTTTATTGTAAATCTCCTCAGATAGGAATTGCCTTTTGTATAGTGCATTTATAAAAACCTACCTGAGACAGTTTAATTCTTTTTGTATATTGTATGCTGTATATTGTATACTGTAGGGAACACAAGGGCACAATAACTGACTGGAACAATAAACAAATAATCCGTACATATACCTAGAGAAGATTTCGGAGGTCAACGCCCCCGGGGCCCGGTCTTTGACTAGGCCTAGTCACAGTGTGTGACTAATTAATGGGCCAAGTCGGACCGAAACATCGTCATAAAGTGTCTTTCTCCTATGTGCGGGTTATTTGTGTATTGTAAAATGTATATTGTATGCTGTATATTGTACATTGTTATATCGTGCTCCAGAAATTAATCCTGAAAAATAGTAATTAATTTTTCACCAAAACTTTGATTGTATTTCATATTTTATTAAATTTCTTTGAAATGTCTTAAAAATCTGAAAGTCTGTCCCTCCCACAGATAATAATCAATTTGTATTTCTTCGTCAGTAATTAGGCCTACACTTTAGATCTTCCTTATCACATACATATTTTTTTTAAATATTCCAACAATACTTACCATTCGCAACTAACCCAAAATTCTAAAAGTTTTCTCACCTGATTGTGGGTTAGTTTACGATTGTTCCAGTGGATTTATTATTATTCCAGTGGGTTAGTTTATTATTGTTCCACTGGGTTTATTATTGTTCCAGTGGGTTAGTTTATTATTGTTCCAGTGGGTTTATTATTGTTCTAGTTGATTAGTTTACTATTGTTCCAGTGGGTTAGTTTATTATTGTTCCACTGGGTTTATTATTGTTCCAGTGGGTTAGTTTATTATTGTTCCAGTGGGTTTATTATTGTTCTAGTTGATTAGTTTACTATTGTTCCAGTGGGTTAGTTTATTATTGTTCCAGTGGGTTAGTTTATTATTGTTCCAGTGGGTTAAATTATTATTGTTCCAGTCTCTGTATTGTGATTTTTTAACGTAAATATTTACCATTATCCACACATATGCCAAATAATTATTAAATGCTTGAATTCTTCTGCAAATTCCGTTTAACCTGGTTCTATTGGTACATATTTTTTAGCATTATTCATAGGTAAGGGTGGCAAAAATTTGTCAGGAAACAAATGTCTCCTGTCGCTGATTTTAATTATATGACGATCCCAACTGGAGCTTTTTGGTCATCTGACCGAGGCCTTCCACTGGCTTGGCGACGCACCTGTTTAAAGACCGAAGATAACACTATTAGATATCACATGTGAACAACATCCAAACCATTTTCTTTATTTAAACCCTGGGTATTTGAGTGATCTCCGTTTACAAAGTCACTTTGGTTTAGAAAGACACGTAAGCAAACACCATAATATATTTATTAGAAAACGTTTCGGTCCTGGGACCTTGATCACAAGGTCCCAGGACCGAAACGTTTTCCAATAAATATGTTATAGTGTTTGCTTACGTGTCTTTCTAAACCAACTTGTCGGTATTTATTACCAAGGTTTATAACACAAAGTCACTTTGTAAATGGTCAAAGTCGGACCGAAACTTCGTCGTAAGCTCCTTTCTCCTATATGCGGGTTATTTGTGTAAAATGTCACATTAGATATATTTGTGTCCTTTTACTACACAAAATATCTCACCTCATTGCCTAGATTAAGATCATGTCTAAGAGGGTAATTAAACACATATTTATCTGCACACTCAAGTATATATTATAAAGTGAAGCCAAACGATAATACATTGAGTACCTGGAGATTCACCTTCATCCCCCAACGGAAAACAATGAAAGATATTTAGGCAAATACTAGATAGTTCGTGTGGTTTTTTACTTACAAGTTGTAGGTAAAAGTCACCTATGCACTGATTAACACATTTATTAAGGGTACGTACCTTCGCGTGTGGCTCCGTTTTGCTTTATAAAACGGAAGATGTCGTTCCTAGCCAAATTTTTCCTTAAAAAATATCTTAATCAGTGCATACGCCTTTTTTGTAATAAGACCGTATGAAAGAAGAAACACTGCAGGAGGCCTACTGGCAAAATGAACACAGAAGCAGTATAATGTGATCATTTATTGACAACGTTTCGCCCACACAGTGAGCTTTATCAAGTCTGTGACTTGATAAAGTCCACTATACGGGCGAAACGTTGTCAATAAAGGGTCACATTATACTGCTTCTTTATTTATTCTTCCATTGTGTCGGTATTTTATACCATTTATCTCCAGACCTACTGGCCCATACTAGGCAAGTCACTGATAAACTCAAACCCACTAACAAAAATATTTGGCCAACCCATATCAGTGCTACCCAAGCAATAAGCTATGATAAGCCTATTAATTCACGTTCCACTTAAATTTAATCTATGAATACTAGATACGTCGGTTTTCCCCTGAAACTAATACCTACTAATACTAACCTTGCAAAGATTTACACTCCAATAAAACCGGTTTGACGCTGGTAAAATTGATCCAAAGAAATTGAGCTATCCTTCTCTCATTTGGATTAAACGTGATTATTTTCTATTCTCCAGGGGCTTAACGCTTCTCCAAGTATATAATAAAAGCAATGTTTTCAAAATTTTAGTCTTCTAAATTAAAATAATTTACCTAACTTAGAATTAGCATAAATATACTTCGCTGTTTTGCTAGAGATGGCGAATTTTCAGGTGACAAATAATTGTATAATTGTAATTGTATAAACACTATCGTACTGCATATTGCAAAAAAAATTAATTATCGTAAAGTTGCAATAAATTAATGTATATATATTCCTCGATTACATTTAATTACTTAAAAATAATGTCTGATATTGTATGCAAATAAATCTGTATTGTTTTAAGTTTTCTCTACTAATTATCGTTGTAATATTCCTTTAAGTCTCTGAATGACTATGACGATTTAAAATTGGGTAATAGGTTAGAATATCGCCTCGTCTTGAATGCAAAGGAACATGGCAAGGTATTGAAAAAAATATATTGCAACGCTTATATAATTTTATCTTGAAATGTGAAGAATTTATGGGACAGGTTAGCGATAGGTTGGCGGTGTGAAAATATTTTGGGGTAAAAAAATGAATAAAAAAACAATAGGTTCGTTATCACTATAAAAAATAGAAACTTTAGAAAATGACGAAGAAATGTTGAAATGTATACGCTTAACAAAATTATAATTTTTCTCTAATAAACTGTTTATTTTTTTGTTTGTAAGCTTATGGGTTGTTACTGAATGTATTAGGCATATGGCTCAGTTTCGTGAATTGATCACAAACAATCTATGGAGATGAAACTTCAGAACACTTTTCGATCGTTCCTGGATCTATAATGGCCCCAGGACGGATCGAAACGTCTAGTTTCCTCTAGAAAGTGAGAGTCGTTTGGGAACTGTTCCAGACACGGTATTGTAGTTTTTCCCACTGTGGACTATATCATATTGAGTGACATAAAGTGGTTTAGATATCTGTACAAGGTTATGTTTTTGATTTACCTGGAATAAAATATAATAATTCCTCCTGGCTCGGATCTTTCTCATACAGTGACCAGCTTCGTGCACCCTTTTAGTCATATGACCGAGGCCTTTCGCTGACTTACCTGCGAATATCTTAAAAAATATACTATATATATTTAATAGGTTTTACACCCCAGTGCATTAGAAAATAATGAATACCATTCGGTATCGTTGTCAAATAGTGTAAATATATGTGAATTAAGAAATACCACTGTTTTTGTATGTGATGGAAGGATAACAAGTGATAACTAGATAACTAGTGATAACTAGATAACTAGTGATAACTATATTGATAGGTATAACTAGAGTAAAACAAGATCTGTTTGAAAGCTCCTCTCTAGGAAAAATATTTACCAAGAGGTAAGCAAATATTAGATATAACGTTTTATAAGTTAATAGAAAACTAATATGCAGTATTTTAAGTCACTGACTTCTATGGTGGGTCGAGTCTTTAAAAAGCAACCTGTAAATTGATGTCATTTATAATTATATATATATATATATATATATATATATATATATATATATATATTAATAACCGAATAGACTGTGGATTACGTTGTGGTGGTCTGAGGTGTCCTACTTGTCCAGTGTTGTGGTGGCGGCCTACTTACTGCCAAGGGTATTCTGAGCAATATCTAATTCAAACGTTGAGAATCAAGAACAATATTGGTAACTCTATATTATTCTATAAACGTATAAATAAATATGAGATTAGTTTTTAATACTAAATTTATAATGAGTTAAGATAGAAAATAAGCGAAGCTGCGTATGCATCATTAGCATGATTCGTCCTCTGGTGGGAGGTAGGTGGTTGTTCCTCGTAGCTCCTGTTGGAGACTACGGTAGGTGTCTCCCTCTTCTAGGGAACCAGGAATGGGAGTAGTTGCTAGTGTTGGGGATGGGGAAGGTGGGGCGAGGGCATGGTGGAGACTAGGGAAGGCATCCTGCAGGGAACTGTTTTGAAGAGGTGTTATGGTGATGACTGGTGGAGTCGTTTCAGCACCTAAGACTCCGTGGTGGTTCAGCACTGGGTCTCGTAGCGTGGTATCAATACTACTGCTGCTGTGCTTGCTGTTGTTACTGGTGTTGCTATTGCTGCTGCTGATGCTGTTAATGTTGCTTGTATCACACGTGGTGTTGCTGTCAGTGGTGCCTCTAGTGTTGGTGGTTGTGTGCTGTTCCTGGCAAACTTGAAACATGGGTTTCGTCTCCTCTGCTTGTGGCTTCTGAACACTGAGACTGGAGGCATCTTTCTCCTCTTGATGTTTTTCTAGATGTTGCTGTTCCAGTTGTTGCTGCTGTTGACGCTTCATAGCCAGCTGGCCGCTCTTAGTTCGCTTCCATTTCATTCGTCGATTTTGGAACCACACCTTTACCTAGGAAGAAAATAACTGTAAATAATATTGATTTTATTTCACACAGTTCAGTTTACAGACTAACAGCTGTTATTCGGGCTCACCTCATTTCAAAGCCCAGCCCTATCTACCATTCCACAGAATGCCACTTATAGAAGTAGACTAACACCCAGGTACCTATTTACTTCTAGGTGAAAAGTTGAGCAACGGTATTAGGGAGGCCTACCGATACACCTCGCCTTACCCAGGAATCGAACGCCGGGTTCTTTTGGTTGTGAGCCGGACGCTTTGACAGGGGCGCGATATTTAGAAGGTTCCATGATATCGATGAAGGGCTTTTGATCCAGGTAACTGGAGCCTTTATCACATTCCTTGAATCCAACATGATTACCTCGAAGTTACTAAGCGCTATCACTATGAATAATCATGGTAATTTTAGGTCTGTTAGAGAATATAATTTTAGGTCTGTTAGAGAATATAATTTTACGTCTGTTAGAGAGTATAATTTTAGGTCTGTTACAGAATATAATTTTAGGTCTGTTAGAGAATATAATTTTAGGTCTGTTAGAGAGTATAATTTTAGGTCTGTTACAAAGCATAATTTGAAAATATAATTATGCTCCATATAACCGGTGAGTGAGCCTTAGTCTGTAGTCTATAGACATCTGTAAAGTCAATTTATTACGGTAAAGTTTCGCTCACCAGGAGTGAAACGTTTCTTTAATTAAGTTTCCTTATGATGTAAATGTGTCTCTTATAAAGAAACATAACTGAAATATCTAAAAAAATAAATGCAAATATAGAATAACTTTAAACTATCTGCTTTGAAACTATCTGCTTTTGAGACCAAATGCTTTGAAACAATCTACTTCAAAAACATCTACTTTGAGACCATCTGCTTTGCCTCATCATGTCATTTCAGAAATTGAAATTACGCTCTCCTTCCGTTCTTTAGACTGCTACGACTTTAGCGCTTACCAATGAATGCAATAATATTCTTAATATATAATGATGTCGTCAAAATAGAGGAATTCAATTTAAATAGAATAAACAAGAGAAGTCAAACGAGAACTTCCCTGTGTATAAAGAAATCAGGAAATTCTCAGACTTGTGAATTCTAAGAAGAGAGCGAAGAATATTCCTTCAAAGAATTTGTGACTGTCAGTGGGGATAATAATATACTTGACTTGGCAGTAACAAAGAAAGGCATCATCAAATGCCTGTCGTGGACCCAGCATGCAATGCATTTATTCCGCGAGGACAAGAATAACCACAATCCTTCAGTCTTCTTTGGCAGTTGTTAGCACGGAAAGGCAGAGTCATGCGACTGGTATGCAGCCCTAGATTGTCTGGTCACCCTGTGTGCTGTGGCATTCTGACGTGTCAGGAAGGTGTTGAGAGGATAGTTTGGTTACCTGATATGTGGTAATCTTTCCAGCCAACTAGATCCCGCTGTTAGCTGGTGGATATTTCCATGTGATCTCTGTGATAAATTGTATTTATTATCAATGTACTGGCTTGTGATGAAATCCTTGTATATTTGTAAATAAAGTACAGTGGTGATTTATTGAGGGGAGAGTGTATTCTATATTCTATGTGAACTTCATTTTCAGACAGAATACACTGACGCGAGCCAAGTATGGAGCAAGCATTTCCCTTCTGGATGGCCACACTGAGGTGCTGGAACATGAAAGTGGCTGCCCTTGGGTCCCTAGTGGCGTCGATGAATCTGGAGCCCAGTTCTTTAAGGGAGCGTGTGGCGTTTTTTCCCCATGATCCCAAGGTCTTTGATCCCACAGAGACAAATTGATACTGTTGGCTTTTGTTTCTGTACTTGCCGATCTAGTACTCCTCCCTGTGATCAGCAGCTCCTCCCTGGCTGGAAATAAATGGAATAAAATACTGACACAATGGAAAAATAAACACATAAGCAGTATAATATGATCCTTTGTTGACAAGGTTTCGCCCACACAGTGGGCTTTATCAAGTCACAAACTTTGTTACTTGATAAAGCCCACTGAGTGGGCGAAACGTTGTCAATAAAGGATCACATTATACTGTTCATGTGTTTATTTTTCCAGCTCCTCTCTGTCGCCCGACACTGTGATGGAAGCAGGTGTTAGCCAGCGTCAACACGCAGGTATAGTCCCATGCTAATTGTTTGCCATTCTTCCAAGGATAGATGGTGATCCCGTCAGGGTGGTTTGCTTGGTTGTGGGTATTGTTGGCTGCGAGTGATCGGGGATTTCTCTCAGTTGGGCATCAAGCTGTGGAAGGATTCTCTTTATGATATAGTTGACTTCATTGTGTCTTGCATGCCAACCTTTGGTTTTGGAGCAGTTAAGACCATGTAGACCATATTGGCTGGCTTGCACATTGCCGCAAATACAAATATACGTATATACCGTGTGAACTGGGAGAGCAAGGCGGAGAGCAGAGCCAATGCATTACGGAGAGTCTTAGGGTCGAGGCGTGTTCCCATTACCGAAATGGGAACTGTTTGAAGGAAGTCCCCAGAATGATGTGCAATCACAGCTTGGATATAGGCAGTCTCTCTGTCTGATGTTACCTCCCTAAGTATGTTGGCAAGTACCTTTTCAGCGATGGGACCAACCCAATTTGACTGTTTGTACATACATACTTGATTATTTGTATATATATATATATATATATATATATATATATATATATATATATATATATATATATATATATATATATATATATATTTTATTATCACACCGGCCGATTCCCACCAAGGCAGGGTGGCCCGAAAAAGAAAAACTTTCACCATCATTCACTCCATCACTGTCTTGCCAGAAGGGTGCTTTACACTACAGTTTTTAAACTGCAACATTAACACCCCTCCTTCAGAGTGCAGGCACTGTACTTCCCATCTCCAGGACTCAAGTCCGGCCTGCCGGTTTCCCTGAATCCCTTCATAAATGTTACTTTGCTCACACTCCAACAGCACGTCAAGTATTAAAAACCATTTGTCTCCATTCACTCCTATCAAACACGCTCACGCATGCCTGCTGGAAGTCCAAGCCCCTCGCACACAAAACCTCCTTTACCCCCTCCCTCCAACCCTTCCTAGGCCGACCCCTACCCCGCCTTCCTTCCACTACAGACTGATACACTCTTGAAGTCATTCTGTTTCGCTCCATTCTCTCTACATGTCCGAACCACCTCAACAACCCTTCCTCAGCCCTCTGGACAACAGTTTTGGCAATCCCGCACCTCCTCCTAACTTCCAAACTACGAATTCTCTGCATTATATTCACACCACACATTGCCCTCAGACATGACATCTCCACTGCCTCCAGCCTTCTCCTCGCTGCAACATTCATCACCCACGCTTCACACCCATATAAGAGCGTTGGTAAAACTATACTCTCATACATTCCCCTCTTTGCCTCCAAGGACAAAGTTCTTTGTCTCCACAGACTCCTAAGTGCACCACTCACTCTTTTTCCCTCATCAATTCTATGATTCACCTCATCTTTCATAGACCCATCCGCTGACACGTCCACTCCCAAATATCTGAATACGTTCACCTCCTCCATACTCTCTCCCTCCAATCTGATATTCAATCTTTCATCACCTAATCTTTTTGTTATCCTCATAACCTTACTCTTTCCTGTATTCACCTTTAATTTTCTTCTTTTGCACACCCTACCAAATTCATCCACCAATCTCTGCAACTTCTCTTCAGAATCTCCCAAGAGCACAGTGTCATCAGCAAAGAGCAGCTGTGACAACTCCCACTTTGTGTGTGATTCTTTATCTTTTAACTCCACCCCTCTTGCCAAGACCCTCGCATTTACTTCTCTTACAACCCCATCTATAAATATATTAAACAACCACGGTGACATCACACATCCTTGTCTAAGGCCTACTTTTACTGGGAAAAAATTTCCCTCTTTCCTACATACTCTAACTTGAGCCTCACTATCCTCGTAAAAACTCTTCACTGCTTTCAGTAACCTACCTCCTACACCATACACCTGCAACATCTGCCACATTGCCCCCCTATCCACCCTGTCATACGCCTTTTCCAAATCCATAAATGCCACAAAGACCTCTTTAGCCTTATCTAAATACTGTTCACTTATATGTTTCACTGTAAACACCTGGTCCACACACCCCCTACCTTTCCTAAAGCCTCCTTGTTCATCTGCTATCCTATTCTCCGTCTTACTCTTAATTCTTTCAATTATAACTCTACCATACACTTTACCAGGTACACTCAACAGACTTATCCCCCTATAATTTTTGCACTCTCTTTTATCCCCTTTGCCTTTATACAAAGGAACTATGCATGCTCTCTGCCAATCCCTAGGTACCTTACCCTCTTCCATACATTTATTAAATAATTGCACCAACCACTCCAAAACTATATCCCCACCTGCTTTTAACATTTCTATCTTTATCCCATCAATCCCGGCTGCCTTACCCCCTTTCATTTTACATACTGCCTCACGAACTTCCCCCACACTCACAACTGGCTCTTCCTCACTCCTACAAGATGTTATTCCTCCTTGCCCTATACACGAAATCACAGCTTCCCTATCTTCATCAACATTTAACAATTCCTCAAAATATTCCTTCCATCTTCCCAATACCTCTAACTCTCCATTTAATAACTCTCCTCTCCTATTTTTAACTGACAAATCCATTTGTTCTCTAGGCTTTCTTAACTTGTTAATCTCACTCCAAAACTTTTTCTTATTTTCAACAAAATTTGTTGATAACATCTCACCCACTCTCTCATTTGCTCTCTTTTTACATTGCTTCACCACTCTCTTAACTTCTCTCTTTTTCTCCATATACTCTTCCCTCCTTGCATCACTTCTACTTTGTAAAAACTTCTCATATGCTAACTTTTTCTCCCTTACTACTCTCTTTACATCATCATTCCACCAATCGCTCCTCTTCCCTCCTGCACCCACTTTCCTGTAACCACAA